TAAAACTTAACTGAGGAAGAACTTCCACTGCACACTTCTCCCTGTCTTCCTCGCTAAATAAACACTGCATTTCAGGAAAATCGCAGGAGCTGGCAGTGCCGTTCTTCCAATTACCCAGCGGACTTCAAGTGTGTGGATCTGAAGTCAGCATCAAGCGCAACAGCACTGTGGTTGCTCAAAGTATAAATTACTTTACCCAAAAAAGGGCTCCATATAATAAAGATCTTTCATTTTGATTCTGCTATCTGATTCAGACGCATGAATCTCTATATATTGTGTAGTGTTTCGTGAAGTGAGCTAATGATTTTTCTTTGAGTGTTGAGGTCAATCCACAGTACTTACGTTGTAGGATGAGGGACTCATTTAGCTTAGCCACTAAAGTGGCCAAATGTTCATGAGACATTGGTCTGGCGGGGGGAGGGGAGGAAATGGCAGTCTTTAAAACCTCTTTAGTCTTACTTAGCCGCTGGGTGAGCAGAAACGTAGTGCATTTGCACACCATTTGAGCATGACACTTTCATATTTCACAGTGGCAGAAATCATCTTTATAAACAACCGGTTGTCATACAACAGGGAGCTATTTACATGAATTGTCGTGCAACAGGGAACTATTTACGTGTAGTTTTGTTGCAGTCAAGCCCACAATTTGCATTGCAGGGATTTTTTTTTTCCGCACCCTCCTCCCTTAAAGGTTAGTTATATCAGGCTAGAACTAGTGGATGAAATGGCATGCCTCTGAATCCCACTTCTGAATGGATGTCTGTTGTGCTAAGCTTAAAGGTAACTGGGAAGAAAGTCTCTGCAGGTGAGTGTTGAGCAGTTATATGACAACCATTAGCACATTTTATGTATAAGAGAAAGTATATCTTTTATTTGTGGAAAGCAGGAAATGTTTATGAAAAGCCTTCCTTCAAAAGATCGAGTGCATTTTTACTTCTGACTTCACTTGAGTGTGTGTTTGCCTTGTTACTTCTACTCTGTGGCTTTGGCAGTCTCATGTGATTTTTTTTTTTTTTGCCTTTTTCCATCTAATAGGTCTTGTCTGAAATGTATGTGTGTCTCCTTTTCATCTGCTGCTTTCCTAGGAAGCAGTGAAGTTTCTCGAAGGGACTTTTTACAGACAATTTAAAATTTGTCATTTATGCAATGTTGCAGAGGAAGATGATGCTGAGGAGGTGCCAGAATTTCAGGTGTCTGGGAAAATTGGAGCAAAGAAGCAGAGGAAATTAGAAGAGAAACAAGCCAGAAAAGCACAGAGAGAGGTAAGCATTTCCTGCCACGTATAGAGCCCAGAGCAGAGCCTGAATAGCAGTACTCAGCAAAGAACTGGTGATGATAGACACCCCAGAAAGGCAAAGGCAGTGTCATTGCTACAACGGTTGTGTTTTTGTTTTAAAAGTGTGAATTCAGCTTTTTAGGTCATATCCCACGAGGGCCATGGAAAATGGTGTCTCGTTTTCTTTCTGTTAGGTTCTCTGGCATTCTCGTGGGGAGGAGAGAGGAGTTAAACTCTTGAATGCTCTTTATTGGATGTTTCCACTGGCTTGCAGCTTAATGTCAGCGCTGTCTCCCCTTAAAAATACACTCAAGCCCACATAGCATTGTTGTAACGCTGGGTCTGTGACCAAAACCATGGGCAGTTCCGAGTAGCATTTCGTGTGCTCTCATAGTGCAAAAACTTTGTATGGGTTTATCTATGTTTAGCCATGTTTATTGTTTTTATGGCTAGGGGGAGATGAAAAGCAGACCCTGTAATCCACTGAAATCTATGATGCAGTCAGATTTTGGTTGAAGTTTGGCCCTTAAACAGAGACCGAGTATACAGAGCGAACACACTGTAGCTTTTCAGTTGTTCTTTCTTAAATCTGTGTGTAAAAGTACTTAAATACTGTTGCATCTTTTCAGTTTTGCCCAGCGTTTTGCTGTTAATTCCAGGGAAGCAACGGGCTTTTTGAAACTTACTTTCTGCAGTGTGCTCGTGGGTGGCAGCAGGTTATACATTAATTCCTTCCAGTTGTTCTATATATATATTTTGCAAACTCTGTATTGTTCTGTTAACTCGGAACGTGGGGTTGCAAGAAGTAGGTAAACGGCCTTTGCATAACAGAGGTTGGAGTGCACGGTGGACTTTACACGTTTTACAAAAAGACAGGATCTGTGAAACTACTAACACTTCTAATATGCAGAGGGTCTAAACAAAGCCGGTGAAATGCCATCGTGAGAATTTTAATGTCAGCAGAGGTTTAAATCCAGTTTCTGCTTTACGTTGTAGTGGTGTGCCCTGTAGATAGGGAGGTTGGTAATAAACTTGACTATTACGTTATATATAAACTTCCATTACGATCCTCTTCTCTGTCTCTCTCTGTGCTTGAACCGTTTTGTCATTACTTTCCATATTCATTCTATTTAATTAGCCTCTTTTTTCGTGGAAAATCTGAGCAAAGTTGAATGAAGCTAGATAAGCATCAGTTGGTGGAGTAAGGAATCTTTTGTTTCATTTTAAAACATGCTGATTTTTATTTTCCCATGTAGACAGATAAATTCCTCAGTTAGATCTTTTTCACTGAAACGCTGAAAGCCACAAATCCTCCATTTTAATGTCTTCTGCTTGTTCTCAATATATTTTCAAATTTTAAGTGTACTGAAGAGACTGAAGAACAAAAGTAAAAAAAAAAAAAATCTCTACACGATACACTAAACACCCTTTTTATTTTTTTTCCCATTTTGCAACAATCTCTTAACTAAATCTGGTTTAAAAACAAATAGTAAAATGATTTAAAGAGACCAGTACAACTTTTTCTTTAAGACATTCTGCCCAGGTTAATGATAAATTTGAATGTACTTCAGTTTACAAAGTTTTTATTCTCCTCTCCTTTTTTTCCTCTCCTTAGAGTCCGTTCTAGCTAAATTTTAAGTGAGGAAAAATGGAATGCCATGACACAATATTACTTAATATCACTATAGTAATAAGCTCATATGCATTTACCAAGCTTAAACCCTTATTGAGGTAGAGGTAATGCAAGTGAGAAGGGTAATTTCTAAATTTATTACAGTGTTAAGTATGCTGAAGATTAGGGAGGTGGTGGGGAGTTAAATGATAATGACTTTTTTTTCTTATTCTCTTTACTGTTTCTTTCTAAACATGCATCTAGAAGATAGTAAGAAACACCCCCCATGGTACTATAATATGAAATTTTAAAAAATGTATGTTCAGGAAGAGTAAGGCTTGGCTTGCATAATGTTTTTTTTTTTTTTTTTAGGCTGAAGAAGCAGAGCGAGAAGAACGGAAAAAACTTGAGTCAAAAAGAGAGGAGGAAAGGCGGAAAGAAGAGGAGAGAATACGTCTGGAGGAAGAACGACAGGTGGGATTGGTTGTATTTATAGATGGAAATTTTGAACCAGGTTTGTCGTTGAGTTTGCTTCTGTGTAAGTTCTGTGATCAGCAGAACTCCCTTTGGCTTTCATTCCTGTTGCACACATCTTTGATTTGGGGGGCGTTTGCCTCCGTTTTGTTTGAATTTACTGTAATGCTCAGTTATTTCAACTGTAGATCCCAGCTTTGGTCCCCTAAGTGCTTGGCAGAAGTGAAAACTGCTCCAAACATCAATACACACATTTAGCAGCAAGCACCCACCCACGGTTGAGTCTAGGGCAAAACAACACCGAATCTCCTGGTAGCAGATCTGCTACTGCTGTGTGCCATAGTGACAGATTGTTTGGTCAGTTTGTTATGTTGACAAATGTAGCCGATAAAGTTGGCTCTTATTTCACCTGGAAGCTGTTTAAGTGCAGGTGTGTGAAGGAAGGAGTTGTACCTAGTTGCAAGAGAAGTTTTGGGGGTTGCTTGCTTGGTGTCTGACAGGAGATGTTTGGTTATCACCGAATCATAGAATAATCTATGTTGGAAGGGACCTCTGGAGACCATCTGGTCTGTCCTCCTGCTCCAACCCGTGTCCAGTTAGAGCAGGTTGCGTAGGACCTTGTCCAGCCGAGCTTTGAGTGTCTCTTAACAAAGGAGATTTCGCAGCCTCGCCAGGCCCCTGTTCCATGATGCTGGTTAGCGCTGCCTGCCAGCTGTAACCAGCAGGGCAGAAAGTGAGACATCAGCAACCGATTTTGCAACTGTTGTGTAAAATTATACAACTTTATTCTAATTATACAAATGTACGTGTGCTTCACAATTAAAGATTTCTAAACTATGCATACGAATGTGTGCGTTAGCAGGAGCGACCCAGAAAAACAGGTACTGTGCAATTGAAATGCTTTTGTTGAATACCTTCTCATCAGTGAGGGAGGCAAACTTATTTCAAAGCTGCTTTGTGTATTCTGGGCATCAGTGCTACTGGCTAAGAACTAGGAAGTTTTATGCTCTCTGGTGCTTGAGCAAGTTGTGTGGTAGCTTTGCAACGTGCTTGTGGAGGCAGGGACTGAAGTGTTCTGCACAATCCTATGCTGAATAATTGCTGTCCCAGGGGAGCATAGCCCCCAGCTTTCAGTGTGAATTTTTTGCGATAAGTGTGCATGGAAATTTGTGTCTCTGGTTTGTAGTGAGCAGATTTATTTTAATTTGTTCTAAGCACAGGCTGCGTAAGTGGAGTGTGTTGCTGATAACATTTTAAAAGAGGAAAAGACAATTTGCCCTTTCCTCTGGGGGCATGAAAGCAGGATAAAGCAATTTTAAAAATTTTTTTTTCCATACACTGCGCATGCAGATTGTATCCATGAGATCTTTTGTAGGATGTACATTTACCTCTGGTACATTTACCCACCCCAAAATCCTTTGTCTTCTGAACTCTGTTGTTTCCTTTTCATCAGTAGAAGGCTCCTGAATTTCAGAAACTGAAATGGATGAGGAGAATGTCAGTACTACAACATCGGATACGTAGCATGGTCTGAGACTCTGATTTGTAAAGCAACTTGAACAAACTTCCAGGGGACCAATCATTCCACGGCTGCCCCTCTGAGAAAGATGTACAAATTTAGAGGTACCTGATAGTGGTCCAAGTGTGAACCCTGAGGTTGGATAACTGATCTCAGCTAGCCTGAGCCACTCCTGTGCTTAGCCAAGCTGTTTCCTAACACCAGAACAATCAGCCCTGGCTTCCTGTGGATCCGTGCCTACCGCTTTTCCCCTGCCCACACACTTCAGTAGCACCAGCTTCTGCCTTGTGGTCCCTGCGACCGCTCTGCTTTTCTCCTAAGTATTGCCAATTTCTCCCCCTCATACCTCCAGTTCAGGTGGGAGGTCAGACAAGCTCTGGCTGCCTCTAAAGCACACATCTATTGCCCGTCCTGCTTGCCGTGGGGCTTGGCATAACAGATAGCTCAGGTGGCAGTTTCCCTCCAGTGGTGTATTCTTCTAAGTGTTTTGTCTCCACTCAGTTCCCTGATATTTTTTTCCTAAGATTCTGGGAATTTGATATCCTTGAAACCCTGAAGAGTTGGTTGAAATGAATCAAATGACTCCAATACTCTGGGGGGAATTAGGAGGGCACACTGGCTGGATGCTAGCGTTGTTTAAATGTCATTTCCTTTAGAGGAAGCTAATGAACATAATTTCAATTCCTTCCAGAGTGGTAGCCCGCACTGCAGGTGAATTTCTAAGCAAATTGCAGTTGAGCTTGGCCAGCCTGCTCAAAAGAAGCTGTAGCCCAGGACAAAGATGTTATTCTGTTGATTGCCTACGGGTTTGACCTGGGGTTTAGCAGTGCAGCGGGCTAATCAGGACCAGTCAGGCATGGTTGAAAAGTTGAGTAGAAAATAAGGGTGAAATTCTAACTAGAGGTATCCTCACACAGAAAGAGCTTATTAACATATTTAACTTTTTTTTTTTAATCCACTTCTGTTCAATGTAGGGCTGAGTAATTTATTTTGCTTGAATGAGGAAAATCTCGTTTGTTTTTATTTTAATTTTCAATATTTCTAGTAAAGATTGCACTAAAACACTTCCACCCCCATTTCGCAAGGCTCAGTGAAAAAGAGGAATATAAACTAAGGCTTTGGGGTTTTTATTTTATTTTTTAAATTTTGTGCTCAACAGTCCAAAGGAGCACTTACTAGAATTTTGAAAATTGCTCATATGCCTGACTCTAGCTTGCTATTCACTTTAGGCAATAACTTCCTTGACTACTTAAATTCACTAATTTTGACCTTTTTTTTTTTTTTTGGTTGGTTCATTTGTTTGTTTATCCCAGTAGTCTTTATCAGGCAGCAAGTCAACCCACCAGGCTATATCATGAATGTTATTCTGCTACTCAGGGGAAAGTGGTTTCAATATTCTATTTTTTTGCTTGGCTCTAAGACAGGTTGATAATCTGTTAATCACTGAACATTTTGAGCATGGATCAAAGTGAACGTGCCTGACAATATTTAATGCCCATCCTCAGCTGCCTTCTGGTAATTTTAGCCTGTGTCTTCATCTGAGTCTTTAACAGGAAACAGAACAATTCAAGACTTGTACATGTTTAGGCTGTGTTGCTCGAGTTTCTGCTTCAGTCAGCAGAGAAAGCAGTATTACTGGGAGCATGGTAATAACAAGACTTCAGTGTTTTAGTCTTGACTGGGTGATAGGAGGGGAAACAAACTGAATGAATAGATACTTGATTACTATCCATGTAAGCATAGCCTGTCCTTATGATGGTAACATGTTATCTTTCATATCTTGTTACAGACTGATCATATGACATAAAAGATACTGCCTCTCTCTCCTAGGCCCCTATAAGCAATAAAGAGATCATTGGATTTGTTGTGTTTTTTATAGAATACATAGGTTAAAATGTCACTTATATCTTCCTCCAGAGAAAGGATTCTTCATTTCCACACGTAAGGTTTTGTCACGAGTAAGCCCTTGCGGACTACCCGTGTGATGGTACTGTTCCCCCATATAAGTTAGAAAATGCAAAGTTAGGAAAGGTAGCTCAAGTAGTGATTGATAGTCATGAGATAAAAACCAGAGGGTAGCTGGTTGTATGGTTTTCGGAGGCAGTTTGATTACTGACGTTTCTGTAGTTTATATAATCCCATAAGGCACGAGAAATTTCGAGTTTACCACTAAAGTTTGTCTGAGAAATGTTACGGTTGTCAGCTTCATTTTTTCCCCTTCCTTTTCCAGTACATCAGAGTATTTCTGCAGGTATAGCAACAGTGGCAAGTGTGTTAGTTTTTATTTCCATCTTACGCAGTGCAGGAAAGGTATTAAGACCACTGATGAATCCTTACTGCCTCCAGGAGAAACAGTGACATAATTGCATGAATTGTTTATTGTTTCACTTGCTGCACATTCAAAGATATGAACTCATAAATTTGGTGGCTATGCTTTATTTAACTTAATTTCAAATAAATTTAAGTGATGGCTTTGTTAGCTAAATTTCAGTTGAACCTTTCTTTCAGTCTCTCCCTCAAGAAGTGCTACCCAAATTGTGCTAACTTCTGTGAACACTGAGATTTGCTTTGTGTAAAGGAAAGTTTCCTTTCAGTGTTTCAGCTACAGCCTTAAAGTGCAATGGGTGATTCCTGCATCATTAAGTACCATCTAAAAGTTCGTCAGATGGTGAGGGAAGCCAAGTAGATTCAGGAGGATAGAAAATCATGTTGCAGCGTGCAGATCTTCTAGAAATTCCTCAGTGTTGATCTTTGACAAAGTCACTGGGACTGTTAACCCCTTCACACACACACCCTCACTCAAGCTTGAGATATGGAGTCTAGTGGAAATAATGAATTCTTGAGTCAGATGAAAACCCACTTTGTTTTATAGGCAAACTGATATATCTCTCCAATTATTTTTGGGCAACTCTACACGGTGCTGTACTACAAGTGGGAACTGTGCCTTCAAGGGAGTTATGGGGGCTAAAATCTTGCATATTCTTGAGAAAAACAACCCCCTGGTTCTATTTAAATATATTTGTATGCACATATAAATAAAATGTCGTTGCCCCTTAGCTCCAGTGTTGCAAACCAGATAATATATTTTTAAATTCAAGTTTCCTTTCCAGTGTTCTGATGACCTGATTGGCTATGCATGTGAGGAAGGTCCTTTATAATTGGCATTTGCTTCAGCTCTGCTTTACCCTGGGGATTTCCCTTTCACTCTTGGAGTTTTTTAGTGGTAAGATGGTTTACCAGCCGCCACCTTATCAATGAGAGCGAACTTCCTCTGATGTTGCAAAACAGTGTCTTCATACAAAGCCTTGCAGGTTGCTTGCACAAGGGCTTTTTTTTCCCTGTGCACAGGGATTTTTGTAGATTTTACTCCCTCAGCCTAGCTTTGCCGTGCTAAGGAAACAGCTTGTGCAGATGCAGGGCCCACAGTCATTACTCTTCTATACTGAAATGCAGTGTTGAACAGGGCATGTTGCCCGCAAAT